GGGGGGGGGGGGGGGGGGGGGGGGCGAGATGGCCACCCTTCCTTCCCTAAGTTTCCCTCCAATTTGCTACATAAGCTTGATTACCGAGATCTTCACAAGGGGTTAAGTGATCTTCTAAAGAAATGGGAGTCAATCTATGAGCACAATGAGTGATCTAAAGGGACTAGGTTACTCTAACATGTATAGAGGGTATGTTACTGGTGATCAAAAGGAATTTCAACAAACGACTCTTTTTTCCAATGCTTGTTTGAATATTAAATTTTACAATTATTTTTGGTATTTTTAAAATTGAAATGAATGTTGTATAGGCCCATAATAAAAGACTTTGATAAAAATCTGCACCAACTTTGTTATGTAAAACCTCAAAGTGAAAGGTAACCGTCCCAGCTTTTTCCGTTTTGAGTTCCAACCATGGATCATGTCATGTATCATATTGTGTCTCCAATTGAATTTTTGCTTTGGTGTGGGATATACCAACTGTCATTATGTATACTTAATCCAGTAGACCACATGCAGTCTAATATTATTTTTTTTAAAAAATGAAAAAATTCCTTGTCATTTGGGTCTGCTCCAGGTTCCTTGCTGGTTTGTCATTGGCTCACTGTTTGATAGGTTCACCAGGTCAAGTGAAAATAATTATAAATAATTTCGAGGTAAGGTTGTCTCAAGTGCCTGGGTCACTGCTTAAAAAAATGAAACCTTATTAGTTCATAAAGGGTAAAAGGTAAATGAGTAAGCCCAACATAGTATCATTCAAATTTATCCTGCATATTGTATTGACACAACATCGGATCAAAATGTAAACAAATAAAACCATTTTCACAACAGCAGAAATATAAACAAGAATACTGCTTGACATTCCAATTAAAGAAAAGGAAAAACAGCTATATTTTAATTCATTAATGCCAGAAACAAGGCTTATTGTTGTAATTAGTAAAAAGTTACTGTCCATGACATGATTTATTGATCTGTCTGCAATAAGAATTATTTTTCACTTTCAAATTTATTAAACATGTACTCAGCTTGGCAATCCTTGCTGATTTCTCTTTACTCTAAAAAATAAACTGCCTTATTTTTAAATTAATGTCAGAGAAGAGACTTGTGTCTTTCAATAAAAAAAAGGTAATAAACCATGACATGAGATGTGTACATACATTTTGTAGACTTATAATTATCATAAGATGTCCAATTCCTCAAGGTCGACATCAGCTTCATCGAAGTATCTCTCAAAATATTCTGGTTCCCATGGTAACAGATCAAAAAAGTCAGGAATTTCAGAAACAACAAGTCGATGATTGTTATCCAAGTGTGGTAGATCTCCAAACGTTTCTTGGATTATTTCTAGAATTTTCATGCAGTGATTCAGTGAGTACACGGGCAAGCATTCAAAAACATCCTTAACGGTAAACAAGCGATAACAATTTTCTTCTATGTCTCTGACAAGTTCCTGGGAAAAGGCATGCTGTGATGCAGCTTCAAAGGCATTATCATCCTTCACTTGTACCAATTCTGTAAATGCTGCTCTGATGTCAGCTTTGTCTTCATCACTGACAGGTCTAGTGAGAGCGGGTAATGATGCAGGTAAGGGAGACTGGTTTTCAAATTGTACCAGCTCAGTGCAGCTTTCATTGCAACATTTTGTAGCACAGTAAGAACAGCAGTCATGTCCTGGACTTACAGGCTGGATTTTTCTGTCAAAATTCTTGTACAAAGCTACTCTATAACAACCCTCACATTTTACAAAGTCTTTGACTTCATCTTCACAATGAGACAGTTGCTGACCATAGTAAGTGATTATAAGGTGTGACCTGATGCCATCACGTCCTGCTCGGCCAGCTTCCTGCAACTGGTCTAATAAATTTAATTTCGTGCGGGACCCCAGTTAATGATGTACCTAACATCCCCAAAGTTTACGCCCATACTGAGAGCAGTACTAGATACGATTATGCTTTTTTTTTACTGCTTTCTAAAATCTGCTAGAAGCTTCTCCTTCATTTTGGGCCAACTGACAGAATGGAAGATTCCAATAATAAAGTTTTCATAGTCTGATGAGCCAACAGGCACAGTGGCATGTTTACCTAGCTTGAAGAATAGCAAGTTGACCACAGTTGCTATATCTTTAAGGGTGCTGCAAAAGATTATGGTCTTGGGTGTTGTATCTCCTTTCTCTTTCACTTTCCTCCACGAGCTAATCAATTTGTTTGTCCATGTCGTCCTTCTTTACTTTGGTGACAGAAATCCTGATGTTTGGCCTGTGAGGACTAATAAAGATCTTAAGGACATCTTCATGTAAGGACAGCTCCCCGCATATTGTGCTCTTAGTTGTATCATCAGCTGTCCCAGTTAAAGCAAGAATGGGAGTTCCTAAAATAAGTAAAGAGAATGATTATTATTAATCACTGTACTGTTACCATGAAACAAAGGGAGTGTATGTATAAGTAAACAGTAAAAATATTTTTGCAATGGTTTCGACAAAGCTTCTACAGTATAGAACCTATTACTTTACAATAGTCTTCCTCCCAATACTTTCATTATCATTTCCAACCTAAAATGTCAATTACCCCACTTTCAGGATTTAAACGTATGGGATGATAATTAAAAATAACTAACCTTCTTTGCACAAAGATCTCAGAACAGCAAGTTCTCCATAAGCTTTTCTGAAAGCTGTTCCACCGGTACCCTTGGAGTTCTTCCTAAAATGAAACGATAAAGCACTTGTCATAATCAAACAAAAGCAACTTATGATCAAAGCAACAGTTGTAATTTTACTCGGGTAATCTCGAATCTCATCCATTCAATCTCAAAGCTAGATTCATGCTAGGGTGCGAACTAGAAATCATTACAGTTGTGTAAAATTTCCAGTGCATTTCAATAGAAAGCTTATAAAAATCGACATCCCTTGTAGCTACACCAATACTCTTTAGACGCAACAAAAACAAGTTAGAGCTTTCTTCCTTTTTCCTGTTCATGTCTCGACCGTGTGCGATTCGTTCACCACAATAGCCGAGATGTTTCGATGTAACTTCGATTTGGAGTCCATCAACATTGCTCGGAAGGGCTTCTCTTTGACTTTTTCGGCGGTTGCAAACAGAATTTTGAAGTTACATCGGCGAATGTCATCGTTCGATAAAGTGGCTAAATCTTTCGCTGGGTAGCCCAACAATTCCATCTCCTGCAACTGGTCTTCGATAATACTTTTCAGTGGCGAAATGACGAGAATCGCCGCATTACCATTTAGCTCGTAGTTCTTCGCACGTACAAACATTTGGTAAATTAAACTCTTGCCGTATCCGGTCGGCAAAACCGCCAGGACATCTCTGTCAGCTAAAAGAGCCCTTACTGCTGATTCTTGCTCTGGTTTTAAAACAATTTCTCTACCACTAGATAAATTCACATCTCTCAAAGCACTCTCTACGACATCCACGTCTACGGCTGCCATCTCGACTGTTTGTTGAAATGTGAAACGCGCATTTCAATATGTTACTCATTACGGCTCAGCCAATCAGGAATTTGCGGACGCCGGCGTCCGCACATATGAACAAAAGGGGGTTCTTAGAGCAGGCGTCCCCTCTCCCTCTCCCCAATCCCCCTCCCCTTTTTCCCTTCCTCCCTATCCCCTATCCCCTATCCCCTACCCCTTTCGACGCCTGCTACGCAGGCTAGCCATAACCAGGCCTGAAAGGCCAAAACCAGGCCAAAAGGGACAAAAGGAGACAAACGGGCAATTTTTAGTCATGTCTTTATTTTCTCAAACAATTATTAGTCGCGTGTTCCAATTGATCCTTGTTCCTTACCAAATCCAACACAGTTTTGAATGTATTTTTAAGCTATTTTTGAAAACTGTTTTAACCTGTTTTGTGAAATAGGTTTTAAATAGGGTGAAAAGTGCATTTTTAATGTATTTTTCGACTGCCTTTAAAGGTGTTTTAACCTGTTTAAAATGCTATTAAAAAAGAATTTTTAAAGTATTTTTAAATTCCTTTGAAATATAAAAAAAATTCCAGGGCTATTGCAAGGCTAATAAAAAAAGGTCTAAAACAGTTTTTAAATACCTTATAAATCGGAAAAAGACAGGATAAAAACAGTTTCAGAAACATATTTTAATTTGCTATACTGTTTTAAAACTATTTTAAATGGCAATTTTAAATGTAGTTTGAGAAAAACAGGTTTAAAATAGGTCCAAAAATATATTTTTCATATATTTTTCGACTGATTTTAAGGCTGTTTTAACCTGTTTAAAACGCTATTAAAATTTATGCTTCAAAATATATTTTAAAAGCTGTTTTCATGGGTTTCGAAATTTAGTAAAATACTCGTATTTGCAAATACAATAAAAATACTTTGAAAATAGTATTAAAATACCACAGACGAAGAAAAGCAATAGCACCCATATATTGTGGAAAGAACATCAAAAATAGGATGCAAAAAATGCAAAAACAGTATAAAATTGTAAGAAAATAGCCTTAGAGTTGTCTGAAAACAGTACAAAAATCGGTCGAAAGAGCATAAAAACAGCCCAAAAACAGGATGGAAATACCATTTAAATTCATGAAATAAAATGAATACAAAACCGTCGAAAATTACCCTGAAAAAGCAAGATTTACCTCTGCGAAATTTCTCCACACAGTCCTACGCTAGGATTTCACGAGTATTATCTCTTATGGAATTCTTATAGAATTTTTCAGAAATGCTGAAATCAATCTTTAGCCTGTGTACAGACCCCCTCCTCTCAATAAAAATCGGAGGGGAAGGGGGGCTGTACACAGGCTATCACATGCTATCAATCTTCCGCTTCAAAAGGGTATTGCGTTACTGACGTTACCGGTAAATAATAATCTACATACATGTAACTTACATTGTTTATTATATTCACGGCTTTACTCAAATATTATCAGAAGCTTGCAGGCTACGCCTGAACATTTAATTATTGGCTGATAAAGAACAACATAAGAATAACACCATCAAATTTACGCGAGCATGAAAGAGGTCGGTGACGTGACATCAAGTGACTGAGAACAGCGAGGCTCAGCATGGAACCCTGTAAAAACTAAAATTGCCGTACAGGCGGGAGTATATGAATGTTTACTACCCTTCATTTGTTTCTTATATGGCGTATACTTAAGCGTCTTAGTAAAATGATATGCATATAGAGGGAACGTTGCATATAATATCCACATAACAGAAGACTCTTGGATTAACACACAAGACAGCACAACGCCGCGTGCTTCGAAGAGAACGTGAACCAGAACCTTTCAAAGTACATAGCAGTCGCTGAGGAGTCATACCCATTTTTGATTCGTGATAAATGCAACATCTACGTGTTCAGACAAACCGCAGAGTTGAAATGTACTTTTGTAAGATCGTAACAAACAGTAAAATCAAGCGCACCCGCAATCACAGCAACCGCCGGTTCAATAATTTGAAAAGAGCAAAGGACAAAGGACGGTTTGTTTATCACGTGCATTTGTCACATCACCGCGGCGCGAAGTCGTGATTTCAGTCGCGTGACATCTTAGAAATAATATCCCATGCATGTGCGGAATAATCTATGAGAGAAAGAAAACCATATGTCGGGGTTTATTCAGATCTGAGCTTTGTTTCTTGATGCAATATATACGAGGTGAGATCTTAGCTTGGATAATTTATTTATTATGTAATTTCAAGGGCTTATTTTAGATAAACCTCTGTTGACCATGTGCATCCGGTTCTCGGCCCACGGCTTCAGCTGGTTGCGAAAAATTTCTATATGAAATTAAAATGCGATTTTAAGAAGTTTCTTTTAAAAAACTTATGGAATGTCCGGTAACTGCATTAAATGAATCACGGCTAAAATCTACGCGGAGATTTTCGCAGAGAGCTTGTAGGTAATGAACATTGAGGAACGGATTGATCTTTTATCGGCACACTGTCACAGTTACGTGTTGTCAGTCAAAGCTAAAATCTATTCCTAATTTTCTTCTCTTTTTTTATTTAATTTTGATTTAATTTTTCGCTCAGCGTCGAACTTTGTTGAGAGGGGAATCCGGTCCACAATATGTGACCGCTTGTTTTGAGTCATTTATGAGTTCGTGACACGATGAAGGCTTAAAAATTAACTTTAGGCAATTGTTACGTTTATAGTCTGCTATTCAAACGTATCGCTCCCGTGAAGTTTACCGAGACGTGTACGTTGATTAGCAACCGCCTGTCTGGGAAGCTGCACCGTTTAAACTTCGCTTTTCCCATCAAAACCGAAACCCTTGGCCTAGTCTGTCTCGGTTGCGAAGCGTTTTAGTCGTCCATTTCGTTGTCGATGCTTAATTTCCCTATTAACATCCTGTGAAAACGTTATGAATTTTTTAAATATAGTATTAGATTTTCCTGCCAATTGGGGGCAGTAATTTGCATAAATTAACCACTAACCACACGATGCCTGTTTTTTTTTTTAAAAAAAAAACCACATATCGTTAATCTGCTCGATAAAACGTACAGGAATACAATCTATAGAAACCATCCAACGGCCTTCCTTAACATCAGCTTAACATCCCCCCAGTGACATTATTTAAAACAAAGATAGCGGGAAACAAAAGTTGCGAAAAACTACTATTTTGTCGGGTTGTTCCTCATATACCGAAAGTTAAAATCGTTAATTATTCATATACCAAGAGTTGAAATAGTTAATCATTCATATACCGAGTTGGGGGGGACAGGGGAACAGTGGGCACAGAGGATAACAGAGGAATCACAGAAGAACAGTGGGCACAGAGGAACAGTAGGCACAGAGGAACAGCACAGAGGAACAGTAGGCACAAAGGAACAGTGGGCACAGAGGAACAGTGGGCACAGAGGAACAGTGGGCACAGAGGAACAGTGGACACAGAGGAACAGTAGGAACAGAGGAACAGTGCGCACAGAGGAACAGTGGGCACAGAGGAACAGAGGGCACTGAGGAACAGTAGGAACAGAGGAACAGTGGGCACAGAGGAACAGAGGGCACAGAGGAACAGTGGGCACAGAGGAACAGTAGGAACAGAGGAACAGTAGGAACAGAGGAACAGAGGAACAGTGAGCACAGAGGAACAGTAGGCACAAAGGAACAGTGGGCACAGAGGAACAGTGGACACAGAGGAACAGTAGGAACAGAGGAAGAGTGGGCACAGAGGAACAGAGGGCACAGAGGAACCGTGAGCACAGAGGAACAGTAGGCACAAAGGAACAGTGGGCACGGAGGGACAGTGGACACAGAGGAACAGTAGGCACAGAGGAACAGTAGGAACAGAGGAACAGTGGGCACAGAGGAACAGAGGGCACAGAGGAACAATGACAACAGAGGAACAGTTGGAGACAGAGGAACAGTAGGGAACAGAGGAACGTTAGGTACAGATGAACAGAGGGCACAGAGGAACAGTGAGCACAGAGGAACAGTAGGCACAGAGGAAAAGTAGGCACAAAGGAACAGTGGGCACAGAGGAACAGTGGGCACAGAGGAACAGTAGGCACAAAGGAACAGTGGGCACAGAGGAACTTTAGGCACAGAGGAACAGATGAACAGTTGCGGACAGAGGAACAGTCGACACAGTGTGTGGCGTGTGTCATCTAGTAAGTGAGGATAAAAAGTTAGCCCAGAAGGAATATAAAAGACATGATAATTTGGCAAGGATTATACAATGGAAGTTCAAGCACTGGCAGATCCAGACTTCGGTTAGAGAGGGGTTAGGATTTTTCCTTGACTTTTCTTGGGCAAAATACGTTGATGTGGATTTTTTGGGATTGCCCACAAGCTTAAACCGGGGTTCTCACTTTTATGTCGAACAAACGTATCGGTTTCATTTACAGACGTAGACTTTTGAAGACTGTTTGCAGACTTTCTAAAAGGTTTGTTAGATGCTTCGGCTAACTTAAACTTAGATTAATACATGCTTTTGTCACTAGCAGACTCGACTACTGTAACGGTCTGCTATATGGACTTCCCGGTAACCGGAAGAAAAACTTCAGCGTGTTTACATCCTTTCAGGGGCACCCAACAAGAATATAGTTCAAAACCACATAAACATAGCATTGTTGAACGTACTTTAGTATTTAAACGGTAGATAAAGGCTTATTTTTATCCCCTAAAAATTTTTCATCTGTTCGGATTTCCTAGCTGAAAGTATAACGATCCGAAAATTATAGGGGTCAAAATTTACCTTTTCGAAAATTTCAGCCAGAAAAAAAGCTCCCGAAAATTCTAGGTGACCTTTTTAGGGTAAAAATCCGTTAAAAATGGGCAATTATACGATTTTTTTGAAGTTCGAAAATCCTAGGAGAGGCAGGGAAGCAAGAAATTTTTCAGAAATTACCGAAAATTCTAGACCTCAAATTGTCTTCCGAACAGATAATTTTCCGAAATTGTCGTTGGGTGCCCCTGACCTTTTTGTCATATTCATTTTCTTTTTGTATGATCGTTTTCCTACAGAGACACTGTTAATACTAGCATCAGGGAACTGATGTAAAGACAAACTGTTGATGTTATTTTTTTTCTTTATTAATTTAAAGCACGTATAAAATTGTATAAAAAGTGTCAATAATATTATTGTACTATGCTAAAAAACAAACTTAGCTAACTAGAAACATAAGTCTTCCAGACTGTATGGACATATCTTGATTCATCCCACATCATAACGTACTTGGTCAATGGTTTATAATTAAGACTAGCTCGAGTCTAACAATGAACAAACATGATCCACTTAGAGGGATAGCAATTTGCCTACTATGCGCATATTTTGAGTAGGACATGAAATTGTTTCATGTCCCATAACAATTTGTTTCATGAAATTGTTTCTTAAAGTTTTTATGTCATAACAAATTATCAACTTACAGGCATACGATAGAACAGATCTGCTAGGTTAATACTTGCCCTGGATACTCGATCTTCCTTTTTGTTATTGTTGTCCCACTCACTTATTACTTACAACTAGTACTTACTTTTTTAAGGTAAAAATTATGTTTGAAACAAAGTTTTCCTCATCCCAGTAACTCTGATATTTTAGTGCAGTTAATCTAAAAGGGGGCAGGGAAGGGTTAGTTCTCCTTTTAACCTTTAAAAACTAACTGAAAGCACTCATCACCCAATAATTATGTGATTACTAACTAAAGAAACAAAATTGATCATACTCAGATCTCTTAGCACTGTTCTTTAAAGTCCCTTCATAACAACATGGCACTTTGAAGCTTTGATTACACCTGTAGTTTGACACTTCCCACTTACTTAAAATTCTAATATTGTTTTTAGGTTTTGCACTACTGCAGGGAAACAAAAGAATCTGCAGGAGTTTTGCAGTAAATTATGTTTATGAAAACTGTTAATAAATTTAATGTATTAAAGAACGACTATGATCAAAAAGTCACTTTCCTTTCTTTCAGATTTTGCAAGTATCTTTCCAAAACAATTACCATGCCGAATTTTAAGGCTTTTTTTTCAAGGAGGGGTCTGCTTATCCCTACTATGATTTTTTGGTTCGCCTGTCTACTGTTACTAAATTCTGTTCCAGTCAAGTGGCAATGAGAGAGTTTGGTCAAGCTCGAAAGTGACGTTATTTTCTTATCAGTGTAAAATGTGGGTGAGGGAAAATGGCTAATCAACTATGCGGCACCAGATTTTGAGCTTCCAAAATTGAAACACGCCATCTGCATACTAAAGTAACAGTGTTCACACACAGTAATGTTTAACTGGTGATAAAATGACATCACTTTCAAGCTCCATAGAACTCTCATTGCCAGACGACTAGGACAGAATTTAGTAATGGTAGACAGTCCTTGAAATAATGGCTTACAATTTGGCATGGTAAATGATTTGGAAATATTCTTTTGAAATCTGAAAAGAAAAGAGAAGTGNNTATGCCTTGCTAATGATCATATTCGATCGCATAAACAACAAAGGGGAAAAGTCAACTTGTGAATTGCCAGAGGAAACCTGTGTACGTGACGAAAGAAGCAAGCTAACTGAATATGATCAATCCGAAACAAGGCTTTGCGAAACATCCAAGGAAGTATTTGGAATAGGGTTGGTATCTTCTGACGCAGATGAAGTAACTGAGACAACGGAATTGACAGCGAAAACTCACGATGATGATAGTCATGGTAAATTCTCTTTGAACTATTCTTCTGCAATCAATATTCTAGACAGAGCGCAACTGAGTTTGGCATCGTTCCAAAGCCTAGTAAATCTCAGCGAATCAGGCACAGAAATATCACATCGTCACTTTCCCTATTTATATACTTTGTTTTATAACAGTCATTTCAGCATGAACAGAGACACCGATGAACACGATAAACGTATAGACAACATTTTAAAGAGCTGGTCAATGTCCAGGGAACATATTGCTAAGGACGGAGATTGTTGTTTTAGAGCAGTGGCAAGGAACGTTTTCAAATTAACAGAAACAGAAGGATTAAGTTCTCAAGCGTATGAGCATCTGGCTAATCTTGGTCTTGTTAATTTAGACGAGAAAAGCTTGAGCGACAGTTTAAGGGTGCTGACCGTTTCAGAGTGGTCAGGAGAGAACAGGCCACACTACGAAAGCTTCCTGACAACTGACAACTTTGACGAGGAAGTTAAGCGGTTTACCCACAAGGGGTATTTTACTGGTGAGCTAGGAAATCTCATGGTCTTAGCAATGGCCAACGTTCTAAAAATGCCCATTGTAATTTTTTCATCGTTGGAAAACTATCCCACTATACCAATTCTGCCGCGTGGACAACTCAATGACATGCCTACGTTGTTTGTCTCATTTAATGCCGCTGGTTGTGGGCACTACGATTACGTCCATACGGAGACTGTGCCGATGGTGTTAGAAAAACAACAAGAAGAACAAGTAAACGAAAAGAAACGACCCCAAGTTTCCTGTTCTTGTGGTGCCAGTAGGAAAGGTCAAGAGAAAGTGTCGAATGTTTGCAACAACGTCATTGGCTCACACTCTAGCAGGTGTAAGTGTCTTAAGGCTCGAGTTAGTTGCGATGGAAATTGCAAATGCAAAGGATGTTCAAATCCATTTGGGCAAAGTCAAGCTGGTAATGCCGAGGGGGAGTGCGCACCACGGAAACGACGAAAGTTTGATATTCAAAACTCGATCAAACTTAAGTCAAAAGTATATCTTAATGAAAAAGGAGAACCGCTACGATAGGGAGCTTTGACGAAGGAGGAGTTCTTTGTAGTAGAAGAACTTTTCAAATTGTTTCATGAAAACAGGGAAGAAATGAGTAGTACATCATTACTAGCCTACTACAATTTTATAAAATCTACCAATTGCACCCTTGATCCTCGGCCTTTACTGCTTAGACCTATGTGACATGAACAGATCAAGAGAGCCATAGCGGCTCACGATCACGACGCATCCGTTATGACAGCCTTGTTTAAAAAACAAGTAGAACTGTGTTTTGCGGAGTCATAAACCTAATCAACATTAAATAGACGAAGCCAATCACTATCTGGCATCCATAACTTCCTTTTAGTTTTGTTAGACTGATTTTTCTGATTATTATCTCAATTTAGGACCAGGCGAACGTTTTTGGTGAAAGCCAGAGCATTCCACCGAGCTTTTTGGGGAGTAGCATATTATTTTGAAGAACTGCGTGGTTGTGGCTTGTTTTGACGTGACAACAGAATGACATACGCTAAGGACTGTCATTATAAATATGAAAAATGTTTGAAACACATATAACCGTAAAAATGCCTAATCATGTTAAATGTACATGTTCAATTAAGGCCGAAGCAATTTTTTTTTTCCTTCGGCCTCAAATTTTCTTAAGACAAAAATCTTGAAAGAAGAACTATCATTGACCAAAGGAAAATTTTAAAAATAAGATTTGCTTGATAAGAAAATTCTTTATTTGGGTTTCTTGAATTTCACACTCTTCGAGAATGTACTCAGTCTCATTGATCACACAAGCCTTACTTACGGAGCTATTGACCAGGATTTATGGCTTGCCAAAGTTTTAATTCAAGACCTCGGTGGGCGTAAAAAATGCTTTGTGCAGCAACCTTTGATTGAACTTGCGTTAGAATAAAGTACATGTTTATAGGAACACGGCAAAGTGTCCAGTGTATGTATTGAACCCAATGAAAATTTACGTGGGCAAGAAGTGGACAAGGTTATAGGGTACACATGTCTTCAGCGCTTTCGAGGAAAGCGGGTATATTAATTTGGACCTCTTAGGCCCATTTCAAAGGCGCGTCTCGGCCTTTCATGTAAAGTACAGTGTTTGAAGTATGCCTTAGGGGACTGGCGCTACTCCTATTCCAGGAGATATGACACTACTTTTAAATGTGGCAGAAGTATCACTCTACGAGAATCGAAATACACCAAAACAGCAGTCACTGTCGTCGGAAAATATTATTACTGACTAAAAAGCTGTATTTGGGCAATTAAATTGCATGATTTCAAAATGGATGTAATAACTTAGTGTGAAATCATACACGTACTTGTGATTTCAAATCGAACTCGCGCGATTTTCAAACCACGTGCATGATTTTAGACCAAATT